GCTTTTTCGAGGCAGCCGCCCGCTTTAAATTTCTCAAGGTCCACCTGAACCTGTTTTCCCATTGTTCTCCTATTAGTTTTTTCTTACCAGTAAAAATTATAATAATAATGAAGGACAAAAAGGGGGAGTTGCAGAAAAGCTTTTTTTTCATAGATAGATAGATAGATAGATAGATAGATAGATAGATAGATGGATGGATGGATGGATGGATGGATGGATGGATGGATGGATGGATGGACGGACGGACGGACAGGTGTGACTGTGTGTTTGTGTGTGCGTGTGTGTGCGTGTGTGTGTATGTGTATATATAATTTTATTTGTTAATATGGTAAAATACAAAATAAAAATAATAACTGAATAAGACTATCTGGAAGAACTCACAAATCTTTAACCAAGTGGGTTATTTTTAAGGCTTTAATATATCAATGCCAAACATGGTCTTTTCAAACAATGGATGGCATTCGTAACATCCATTACGGTGTTTACAAAAACACCGTCCAAAATTCCAGTTTAGCACTTGCTCAAAGCCTTTCCTAGAACTGAAATACAATATAATCCGCCCCCCCTCTACACACACACACACACACACACACACAAACCCCAAAGTTTCTCCACTTTTCTCAGCTGCCATCCTATTTCCTCTTGCCAGGCCACTCTTCCTTTGAAAATGAGCAGAGGTTCCACCGCCTCCCAGCCTACCGGCTGCCCACCTGTCCCATCAAGCGCAAGACCAGCCTGGATGTGAGAAGAATCCCTGAGGGACAGAAGGCGTCCAAAGTCAGGCGATTGTCATGCCGGCCTATTGCTGCAGCGTGAGTACACCGAGTGCTCAGTAGAGGGCAGTGTAACCCTAGGATAAAATCCGCCCCAGGGACTGAATCTTAGCATTGAAGAATGACAAGCCTTTGGGGTAACTTCCCAGTTCTGTTCTACTATACAACCCTTCAAGGTAGCTCAATGGTATCATCTCGATACTGCACAGAGAGGACAAAGAGGAGAAACTGGATGAAAAAATATGCCTTTTATTATAAGGGTGGGGTGGGGGGGTGGAGAGAGAGAGACAAAGAAACGCCACTGGGGGGAAATCCATAAAGAAGCATAGCTATTTTGAGTGCTCGCTATTGGCATTCGCAAGAACAGTACAAGATTTAAGTTAAAAATGTCCTGACTTAACACCCAAGTTGAAATCTCCTGTTGGGGGATACAGTTTTACTCTGGATTTATTCCCTATCACTTAGAAACTTTTCCCATCTTCCATTGGCATCTTTCAGTCTCAAGAGACTATGGCAGTGTTTCTCAACCTTGGCAACTTGAAAATGTCCGGACTTCAACTCCCAGAATACCCCAGCCAGCATTTGCTGGCTGGGGAATTCTGGGAGTTGAAGTCCGGACATTTTCAAGTTGCCAAGGTTGAGAAACACTGCCATAGTCTCTTGAGACTGAAAGATGCCAATGGAAGATGGGAAAAGTTTCTAAGTGATAGGGAATAAATCCAGAGTAAAACTGTATCCCCCAACAGGAGATTTCAACTTGGGTGTTAAGT